CCTTAAAGTAAGAATAACCTAAAATATAAGTCTTCTATTGAAAAAGTAAAAAAATCAGGCCCTAGATTAATACAATTACTAAAAGTTAGGCCTTGTAGTAGAATTTCCCCTATTGTTTATTGTAATTTACTGTCATTAATTCTGTTTTTAATGAGTTGATCACTAGGAGATTGGAGGCCGGGTAATTAGTTGAAACTTGAAAGCCTTACCGTTTGAACCTTTAGAAATAAACATGCCAATGATGTTAGGAAGAGCAACGGTTATTATCATATAAATTGCACCAAAAAAATGCATCAATATGTCACTACAGTCTATTCCGTCGGGTTTGTAACGGTAACAGTTACATACTCCAACGAAATGGTTCGGTAACGAGACCCTTTCATTTCTCCATACTAAATAATACTTAATTAAAATATGTAGGAGGATTTTATTGTTGTAAATGTGACACGTCAATATTGAGCACCATACATGAAATCCTCAGATTTGAGGTGGTGAGGAGCAGCCGTATGGGATTTTTTTTGGACAGTGACTGTAATATGTTACGTGTATTTAATGCAGGCCGAGGAGTTAGAAATGTGTTAGCTCATGAATTAATGAGCCTAAAATATTTGATTCTCACTCTGTTAGCATAGGCAAATCAATAAATAAATAAAAATTCAATAATTCGTGCCCACATAATAGGAGTTTTTTTGCAAAATCGTTGATTGTGGGGGTCTCCAAGTTCATAATAACTAATCCCGAGGTCACACTTCACTGCATGCCCCTTCTAGTGACTTCCATAGCTTGCACGTTTTTATTTAGGCCTAATTTTCTGTTATGATCTTTGTATAGTTCGGAAAGCATAAATTCTTACGTCTGCGAGCCTAACAGTTAGACAAGTCGAGTATTTTTGAGTAAAACTTCACTTTTATATTCAGAAATGTTGTATGTTTAATTTCTTAGGATGTTTCTGACACGTGTCGCGATCGATCTCACTTTTTTTCAGGAAAAAGCCGGCAGCGGGTGTCTCGACTGTGACGGCCATCGGGGCCATGACGGTCCCGATGTGCATGGCCTTTTTCCTGCTGGCGATCAGCCGCAGTGACGTGGCGCTCTACTTGTCCACGGCAGTAATAGGTGTCTGCACGGGCGCAATAACCTCAGTGGCCGTGACCATGACAACGGAGCTCTTCGGAGCTGTCAATTTCGGAGTGAACCACAACATCGTGGTGCTTAACATCCCAATCGGGTCGTTTGGGTTCGGGTACTTGGCGGCTTTGCTTTACAACGGGGCAAGGGCAAAAGGGGAAGATAGCTGCGTGGGGCAAGCGTGCTACCGGACAACGTTTGTGATTTGGGGTTGTTTGTGCGTGTTGGGGTCCTTGCTGGCATTTGTTCTACGTTGGAGAAGTAAAAAGGCTGCGCGGTCTTAGTTAGTAATATATACGTGGTTTTTGAGGTGGAAATTTTTGTATTTGCCTTGTGTATAGATTGTTTATTTTAATTTGCTGCTCAAGTAGGAAGAAATATGAATTAGATTGATTTTCTATGAATTTGTTCATTTTATACCTTTTAGGAATATATCATCCATTGAAATGTCCATAATAATAAAATTGATAGTGTTTAACCAAAAATCATTGTTCGTGTAGATATCGACTCAACTCGTTCCATCGAGTTGTTTACGTATAATGTTTTTACATGTTAACTCTTGTCAAAGTTTCATCAAGGATGGATAGGTGAAGATATCGACTCAACTCGTTCCATGGAGCAATTTTTTGCTCCTCTTATCACAATTTATCTTTTCTTGGCTTTCATGCTCGGCTCGACTATGGTAGGTATTCTAGCGTGATCCTATGGGATTTTTCGCTCGACTAACCTCTCTAAGCCTTCGATATTATTGTCAGACTCAAGCCACCTAGTTCAGATATGTGCAGTGTCGTTCGGGTCATGTCTCATTAGTTATTATCATCACTCTATTCCATTCTATTCCTAGGCATATAAATAAGTAGAAATGTCCTTTGATAATTTATAATAATAAAATCAATATGAAGTAAAGAATGCAAAAAATAAAAATAAAAATAAATAGAAATGTCTATTCCTACATGAATAAGGGAAATACTACAGTTTCCGCATGGAATTTGTAATCATTAGAACATTATGTAACCATCGGTTATAGTTGATCTACGGTTACAAAATCCGACAAAAATGTTAGCACCTCTCCATAAATAAATAGAAATGTCCTTTCCCTCTCGTTTCCTTGTTCGAAATTCTGGAGACGTACTCATATGGTGGCCGCCTCGATGAAAATCGCATTCTTTACTGCAAACAATAAATTTCTTCTTCCCTTACAGAAATCAACACCAGACAATTATTAGATTACCAACCCTTGGTACTAAATGAGCAGCACCTTCTTAAATCCGTCCAAATATGTCATCCCTCAGCCCCAAATCGCTGGCGTCCCTGGTGGAGTCCGCCGTGTCCGCCCGCTCCCCCCTCCTCGGCCGGGCCGCCCACGGCCAGGTCGTCAAAACCCTGGGCATGGCTCTCAACTCCTTCCTCTCCAACCACCTGGTCAACATGTACGCCAAGCTCGACCGGCCCGATTTGGCCCGCTCCCTGCTCTCCCTCACCCCAGCCCACTTCCGGTCTGTCGTCACCTGGACCGCCCTCATATCCGGCAGCGTCCAGAACGGTCACTTCCCCTCCGCCCTCTCCTTCTTCTCCGACATGTGCCGCGAACGCGTTCACCCCAACGAGTTCACCTTCCCCTGCCTCTTCAAGGCCGCCACCTCCCTCCGCTCTCCCTCCCTCGGCCGCCAATTCCACGCCGCCGCTGTCAAGCTCACCCTCTCCGACGACGTGTTCGTCGCCTGCAGCGCCTTTGACATGTACTCGAAGACGGGCCTCCTGACAGACGCCGACAAGGTGTTTGACAAAATGCCCGAGAGGAACATCGCCACCTGGAACGCTTGCATCACGAACAAGGTCCTCAACGGTAAGCCTCGCGAGGCAGCCCACAAGTTCGTGAACCTGTTGCGCGAAGAGGAAGTTACACCAAACTCAATATCGTTCTGCGCATTCCTGAACGCGTGCTCGGATGCCGGCCTCTCAACCCAAGGGAAGCAGCTGCACGGGTACCTGATTAAGGCCGGGCACGAGTCAGACGTCACAGTCTCTAACGGGCTTATCGATTTCTACGGGAAATGCCGCGAAATCAAATTCTCCGAGAGAGTTTTTTATAGCATGAGCGACCGTAGTGCAGTTTCTTGGTGCTCGATGTTGGTGGTCTACGAGCAGAACCATCTGGGCGAAGCAGCATGCAGGCTTTTCTGTGAGGCGAGACGAGCTGGGGTCGAGCCGACCGACTTCATGGTATCGAGCGTGGCAAGCGCGTGCGCGGGCTTGGCCGCGCTAGATTTGGGCCGGGCAGTTCACGGCCTGGCCGTTAAGGCCTGTGTCGAGGGCAATGTGTTTGTCGGGAGCGCGCTCGTCGACATGTACGGGAAGTGCGGCTGCATCGAGGACTGCGATAGGGCATTTTCGGAAATGCCGGAGAGAAACTTAATCTGCTGGAACTCGCTGATCGGCGCATACGCCCACCAGGGGCATGCTGACGTGGCGCTCAGGCTGTTTCGCGAGATGGGGCCAGTGCCGAACTACGTGACGTTCGTGTGTGTGCTGACCGCGTGCAGCCGGGGGGGCATGGTGGGGGTAGGATTGGAAATCTTCGAGTCTATGAAGGGCAAATACGGAATAACACCAGGCGCAGAGCACTACGCGTGCGTGGTCGACATGCTGGGGCGAGCGGGACAGGTGGAGCGAGCCTACGAGTTTGTGCTGCGGGAAATGCGGGTCCCGCCCACAGTCTCCGTGTGGGGTGCTCTGCTGAGCGCGTGCAAGCTGCACGGGAAGCCGGAGATTGGGAAAGTGGCGGCGGAAAATCTTTTCCAGTTGGACCCACACGACTCGGGGAATCACGTCATCCTCTCGAACATGTATGCAGCTGCGGGCAAATGGGACGAGGCGAATCTCGTCCGGGTTGAGATGAAGGAGGTTGGGATCAAGAAAGGAACGGGCTACAGCTGGATATCCGTGAAAGGCAAAGTTCATATTTTTCAAGCGAAGGATAGTTTGCATAGGATGAATATTGATATCCAGGCGGTGTTGGCGAAGCTGAGGATGGATATGAAGGCGGCTGGATATGTTCCGGAAACTAAATTGGCGTTGTATGACGTGGAGGACGAGGAGAAGGAATCGGAGGTTTGGTATCATAGTGAGAAAATTGCGCTGGCGTTTGGGCTGATGGTTCTGCCGCCCGGAGTGCCGGTAAGGATCACGAAGAATCTGAGGGTGTGTGTGGACTGTCATAGTGCGATTAAGTTCATATCGGGGATTGTGGGGCGGGAGATTATTGTTAGGGACAATAACAGGTTTCATCGGTTTGTGGGCAATCAGTGTTCCTGTGGTGATTATTGGTGATCAAAGTAGCTGCATTCAGAAAAAAAATACTGTAAAAAGAGAAAAAAGAAAACCCCGTTTGTTAATTTGCAACCGAGCACGGGAGGTTACGGGTTGGGATCTGAGCTGCGAGCAGCTTGGGAACTGCAAGCTTGAGGCATGTTTTCCGTACATGTTAAGAGGAAATCTGTATCATTTTTAGTCTTGCAGATGTGAATTTCCTTAGGTTTCGATAGGTAATAATTAATTCTTTTTTGCCCGCTGCTGTAGGCTGTGCCGAATGGTTTTTTTTCTCTCTCAAATTTTTGCTGCAAGTGCCCCCCATAAATCATGAATTATGAATTCCAGGTTGTTGTACATACACAGTAACACATGATCGAGTATCTACACAGGCGAGCAGCATTGCCCCTGGGGATGAGTTGATCTATTGCTAGTAGCATGGGGCAATTTTCCTATATATAATCTTTCTGTAAGAAAATTTTCTTTCTGTGAGGTTCAGCTGCATTTGCGTATTAACAAGTTAGTGTTCCATAAGGCATCGTAAATAAAAGCATGGCATTTGCTAGTATTATTATGCGTTTTGTTCAAAATGTATAAAGAATAGACCTCCGAAGTTGGCTCATATATAACTTTATTATTCACTAATTCCACAGCCAAGATATTTGGCTCATTGTTATTCACAAATTGATTGCCAAGTCCAGGGAGTCTCTGTTTACTATTACTTGCAATTTGAAATTACAAAGGTATGATAAAGATTATGATGGTCAAATTCGAAAGGATTTACTCTTATCTATACACCAAGATGAATATCAATTGTTAACTCTCCATAATAAATGAGTCAAATTGAAATTTGAGATAAAAGTTACATTTCTAATTTTGGTGGGTTGATAAAAAAATATTTGAAAAGCCAGTTTCCCAAACATATATATTTAGCTTTGCTTCGGTCAAGTTGAAACTGCTGAAGCTTAACAGAAAGTTGTTTAACAAACACATATTAGTTGATTAGTTGAAAATGCTGAAAGCTAAACAAAAAACTGTTTAACAAACAAATATTCGATAAAATGAGTTGAAACCGCTATAAGCTAAACAAAAAGCTGTTTAACAAACACATATTCCAAGTGAAATTGTATTGCTTATGGCCTTCATGATCTCTACTAAGCTCAATGTTTTTGTAAAAAATTGTGTTCACTAAAATACCCTCTATAAATCATAATTTGTTAATGCTTTGTAATGGTAAAAAAGTAGTTTACATGTTTTTCAACTATCTTAATAGACTAAATTACCCTTTCTCTGTTGATTTTTTAATGGCTTAATTGTCATTTTGTTAAAAGTCATTTATTAATGAGAGAGTAATCTTGATTTAAATGGCCTAATTACAAATCATGTATGTACGTTTGGTTTGGTTTTCGTTTTATTGTTTAAGTATTTTTTTTTTTTTCATTTTTAGTATAGTCAATATTATATTAACCCAAGTAATATGATATATTGAAAGCGGGTTTAGTAGATTTGGGGAATAATAATCAACAATATTATAACTTTTATGAAATATTTATGGATTATATGAATTAAACAACAGTTATCGTCAATACTTATATAATAAAATAAATTAATAAACCGATGTTATTTTAAAGTTTCAGTTGCTTTTGTGCCGACCGAAACACATGCAGTTTAAAAATAAACTACTAAAGTGCAAAAGGCTTGTGAAACTTTTAACTAACACAAGCTTATCTATCCGTACAATGCACGAATTATAACACAATAATTAAACTCATATATTATTAAATAATATTTTATTATATTTTCTTAATAACAATTTGATATTTAACTTATATTATCTTATAAGTTATTAATTAATTATACATTTCAGTTAATAATATTATATTTTCTTTTGAGTAATAACAGACGACCTATTAATCTTTCATTTCCTTGTCTGTAATCGGTGATTGAAATAGTTTTTTTTATCTCTTGTTCGTATTTATATTTAGTTTCTACATAATGATTTTCAACCTAATGTCGGATAACATGTGGTACCATATGTTGGATAATTTTTTATTTAATAAAAATTAATTAATAAACTTGACACACATTTTTATTTTTTTATTATAATTATTAAACAAATTATATTTATTTTATCACAATTGATATTATCTTTTCATTGTATTTACCTAGATTCGAACCAAAATTCACCATGTTACATACTTATTTATGGAGTAAATAGTAATTTTGCTCATTCTATTTTCTTAGTGTCTATATAAAATATTTATAGATAATATACACAAATTATTACATAAATTTACTTTAAATTATTTTTAAATTTCAATGGATTTTGTTCGAAAAATATTTTTATATAACCATGGGGTTTTTATGTAGATTGACCACAATAAGTAAATAAAATATAAATTTTCAACATCAGAGACACTAAGAAAATTGCAACCACATAGATCTATGGTACATGTCTATTATAATATAAAACTATTTGCTTCAATATAAAAATATATCTTAATTTTGGTATATTATCGTATTTACAGTTCAATCAGCCATATAAGACAACTATTTAACCAAATTAGTTAGTCATAACATTTTCAGTTATAATGACATTAATGGTTTATAAAATAATGTAAACATTAAATTGTGTATAGAACTAAAAAAAAAAACAACTCTCTTATTTTGTCCAAAAAACTTTGGGCGGAAAACATCCGTACAAAAATAGCATTAGAAGTTGGCTAATCTTTTTATACAAATGTAAATTGTTGGTGAGTGGGTGTGTGTGGATACAAATAAACAAATTTTTTAATATAGTTAACCATGATTAATTTTAAAAATTAAAAAGTTGATTTGATTAGTTGTTAGTGAGATATTTAAAATAAAATGATTAAAACTGATTAGATGTAAAAGTAGGATATAAATGATTATAAGTGATAGATAAATTATGTGAATGAACCTAATTTTTTTTTTTTTCCAAATAAAATATCTATTTTATGGTATGTTAATACTCATAAATTTTACTTTATAAGATAATTTATGGTTTTATTTGATATTTTTTAATTTAGCTTGATATATTATATACCTATGGATTTTTTTATGAAGATTAACCAAATTAAGTAAATAAAATATAAAATATAAACTTGAAACATCAGAGATTATAAGTAAATTGCAAGAGTATAGATCTATTGCACATGTCAATAAAAATATAAAATTATTTGATTCAAGATAAAAATGTATCTTAATTTTCATATATTGTCATATTTATAAATCAATCATCCATATAAAAAAAACTATTTTATCAAATTAGTTAGTAATAACATTTCAAATATAATGACATTAATGGTTTATAAAATAGTGAAAACATTAAATAGTGCACAACATTAAAAAGACAACTTTCTTGTTTTGTTAAAAAAACTTTGGCGGGAAACATCCATACAAAAATAGCATGAGAAGTTGGCTGATCTTTTTATACATATGTAAATTGTTGGTGAGTGGTGTGTGTGGATACAAATAAACTAAATTTTTATATAGTTAATCATGATTAATTTTAAAAGTTGATTTGATTAATTGTTAGTGAGATATTAAAATAATATTTAAAATAAAATAAATAAAATTGATTTTATGTAAAACTGATTTATCTCCTAGGAGATAAATGATTGTAAGTGATAGATAGTTAATATTATGTGAGTTAGATGAATAATTTATATATTCGTTTGAAAAAGTTTACCTTTTTTTTTTTCAAATAAAATAACTACTTGATGGTATGCTAAGACTCATAAATTCCTATTACTTTATAAGGTAATTTATAGTTTTATTTAATTTTTTTAGTTTAGTTTGATAAATAAGTTTAAATTATATTTATAAAGATGTATATCAATGTTTTGTTTTTTATATATATAATATGAATGGCAGATCAAAGATCATTACAAGATAATTAATTTGATATATCATATATAAAAATTAAAATACAAACAAAAAAAGTTATACAATTTCGAGACTAAGAAGAAGAAACATTCATAATAATTAATGTATCAACTAAATAAGAAAAAGAAATGTAAGAAAATGAAATGTAAAATAGTTTATTGTAATTAATGGTAAAATAAAATAAGAAAGAGATAAAGCATGGATTTAGTATTAATAATAAGAAAATTAAATGAAATGTAAGACTAATTATTTTTGTATAAAAAATGTTAATTTATATTAAAGTCTGACTCTATAATATGATTTTTTGCCATATAAGATTTTGAAGGGTGAGAATCTGCCACTTAAACTCAACTCATTCAGTAAGTATATATAGGGATGATGATCCTAGCCATTTTTCACATATGAATAATATGCATATAGGGGGAGGATCCAATGAGTCCACTCCTTAAAATGAGTCCACTCCTTAAAATATATATTAATTAAATAATAAAATAATTATTAGTTGACTTCAGCATTGACCGTTGACTTCCGTTGTTGACTTCCGGCGAAAATCGTTGATTTTCGGCGTTGACCGTTGACTTCCGTCGTTGACATGTTGCCCTTGGTTTGCAATATGTATGAAGTAAATATGCATCCAGTACCATGCATTCAATATAAACTAAATATGCATGAGATATGAATTGCACATGTAGTCATTATGAACTAAATATGCACCAATAATATCTACTAAATATGCACCTGTTATTAACTAAATATGCATCTGTGATGAACTAAATATGCATCATGAATGAACTAAATATGCAGCGAAAAATATGCAATAAAATGTACATTTTATATAGGTAATTTATGATGCATATTTAGTTAATTTATTATGAATATTTAGGTAATTTATGATGCATATTTAGTTAATACGAAATGCATACTTGTTATATTTAAATTAAATATATAATGATGTTTATATAGTTAATATATGATGCATATTTAGTTAATTCATGATACATATTTAGGTAATTCATGCAAACCCAAGAATATTTAGGTAATTTATGATGCATATTTAGTTAATACGAAATGCATACTTGTTATATTTAAATTGAATATATAATGATGTTTAT